TGATGGGAAGCAGTTAATATATCATAGTTGACTTAATTTTTTGAGTGAATGTAGGTTTAATTAGATATGTTGATAGACTCTGACTTGAGCTATCTCTTGGCAATCTCTCCAAACGAAAGTATTAGATTTCTGCTACGCGTTCCCAATAATTTGAGGCGTTCATCTTTGCTCATAATTTTCCTTTCTTTGTGGCACTCTCAAGGTCGGTTACCAACCCCCTCTCTTTCAATTTTAAAATTGAAGTGCCTGTTGGATTGTTGTGATGCCTGTTTTTTAAATCTTAGATTTAGGAATACATCATGCTGCCCTTTTTTTTTTGGTTGAAAGTTATGTTGCCCGTTTGAAAGTCAAAAAATGCATATTTTTTGGCCATCATCACGCCGAAATCAAATCTCGAGGTCCAAAATTCGTCATTAGATTGTCTATTTGAAAAGTAAAAAATGCATATTCTCAGGCTGTTGCGATGCCAAAATAAGTTCTCGAATCATGAAATACGTTTGTCATGCTGCCGAAATTTTGCTAAAAATTATGCATGTTTAAAGACCGTTGTAATGATTGTTTTAAATCTTAGATCTTAAATTAGGCAGTTACATGCTAGCTTTGCTGAGAATGCGCTAGAATGCATCTTGCTGTTAGTAAAATACGAATTTTGTGGTTTGGAGGGGATATAAAGTAGTGGATATATTGAAGTATTGCATTAGAATACACCCTTTTTGTTTGTAAGCCAACGCATAGGTCATATACCAAAGGGATTATATTCATGTCCAGGATAGACTATGCAATGCAATTGGAGATCAAAAGTAAATAGCTATCACGATTCCAACCAATAAATTGAGGTCCCGTGCATGTGGACATTCATTTCATGATTTTGAATTGAGTAATGAAATCTAAATTGAGTAATGTATTTGTTTTGACTGGGTCAAAAGGAAGAGGGACGTTTTTGCATAGACGTTACCATGTCCGAGTAAAGTTGCAAATCGAATAAAAACGACTCCTTAAGTATTGTAAATTGCATATGCCACACTATTTCTTCATGTTGTGAGCCATTGCCATTGCCATGTTGCATGCGAATATTATCATGTCATATCATTTCATCATCATAGTTTAAATTGGATTTCCAGTGTCATGCTGCATGTGAAAATTGCAATTGCACGTCATTTCTTTTGAATTTGATTTGTTGTGTCATACTGCATGTGAATATTGTTATGTTATGTCATTTGTTTATCATGTTTTAAATCTGATTTTGTCGTATCTTATGTGATTATTCTTATGTCTTGTCATGTCATTCCATCACTATGTTTTGAATAAGATTTGTCATTTTATGTTGTATGCGAATATTATCAAGTCCTTTCACCATTTAATTTGTATGGAAGGGAATATCATCCCACGATGCCCTTTCGGTGGCACAATCTACTTTTTATTAATCCTTAATCATTTATCATCTAATTTCTTAAGTGTGGACACCTAAAAAATTGCCTCCATTAATCCTTAAGATTGACCGAGGTTGATCGAGAGTTTACCAAAGGTTAACCAACAAGATACAAAGCCCAAAATATGGTTTTATACCTAAAAGATTGGTTGTACTCGTCAAAACGAATCTCTTAACACTCATTTTGCCCCTTGAATCCGAACAGTCCATTTTTAACCCTTCAGAATGGATCGTTCACTTTTCTCGATGTTGGGAAGCATGCGATTTCCCGATTACGATTACACATCCTAGAAGCGGGGATCACAAGCATTTCGAAACAACAAAAATCGAGTTGTAACTTATGTCGAATGAAAAAGTAATCGCTGGTCAAAAATTGATCGAACCTTTCAATACCTGAAAAAGATTCCAGAACTGAAATCGTAACTAAAGGTCTTGGAATCGAACGAAACTTTCCGGACCTCTAAATTTAGGTAAGTGATGATCTTTGAAAATGACGAGTCACCGAAACAAGGCATAGTCCAAAGACCCGAACCTTAGACACTAGTTTGGGTTCTAAGGTTCGGGTCTGTGATTTGGCAATTTCACGTAGCAACATTAGGCTCATTAGAAAGCTCGCGACATGAGCATTCAAACGGCGCAAATATCACGTGAATCGAATGTCCGGCAGCCCTAGTACGGGCCTCGAAAGAGTGAACCCAAATCCCTTCAATTCAACTAATCTAATCTAGGAATTTAAAACATGTTTAAACTCTTGAACAGGTTTGGATAAACAGTTCTGGGTATTTTTAGGGCCTGTTTGGCAATTTGCCAAATAGTAAAAATTTCTGTTCTTTTGTTCCCAGAATCAGTTTTAGAGCAGAAATCCGTTTGTTAAATTTTTTTGTGCCCGGGCACAATTTTGCAAAAAATTATTCCCAGAATCAGTTTTGGAACAGAATCAAGAAGCAAAAAAAAAATAGCTTCTTGATTCTGGAACAATTTTTTCCATTTCTGATTCTTTTTCATTTTCTTCTTTTTTTTGGTTTGTTGTTATTCTTCGGCCTGCTGCCCGCCACCCGGCGGCCACCGACCGCCGGCGACCATTCGCGGGCCAGGGCTGGCGAGGGCCACGACGGCGAGGCCTCGCCCAACCGCTGGCGGCGAGGGCCACGACGCCCTCATCGGCCCTGGCCTATGGCCGGTCGCCGGCGCCAGCGACCGGCCTTGGCCAATGAAGAGAAGAGAAAGAAAGAAAAAAAAAAGAAAAATTCAAAAATTCAAAAATATTATTAAAATATTATTAATAAAATGAAATTTTGTGTAGTTACCAAACGCATTTCTGTTCTTTTTCTATTCTAATAATAGAAATTTTGGACAGTTACCAAACGCCTTCAAATTTTTAGAAATTATTTCTGGGTACAGAATAAAAAAGAATTATTTCTGAGCAGAATTTGTTTCTAATCACATAATGATTGTCATGCGCAACCTTAGTAAGTTAGTTGAATTTGAAACTAGGACATAAACCATCGATGAGACCGGAGCAAGAATTCTAAGTAATCATTTCGTTTTGGGCCAACTCGAAATCAAGCTTTGGGTTCTCGCCAGTTGTCCTACTATCTTAGCATGACCATCAACGTATGTCATTGTCATGCTCCACGTGTATCGTCTCACCAAACGACATTTCTAAATCTTTTATAAAGGAAAAATTACTGAATTTGTGAATCTTTTAGAAGAGTCTTCCAGACGAATGTCTTCAAAATATTAATTAAATATACTACATAAAAAGAGTTTTTAATATTTAATACACAGATCACATAGTTCACTGGAATTGTTGAAATATCGAACACTATTAAGATCTTCTTAAGTAATAGGGAGCGTTCGTTTTGCAGAAAATTAGTGATTTGTAAAATATTTTTCAAAAAATGATTGCTTATATCATTTAGAAAAATTAGTCAATGAAAAATATTTTCATTATCGATAACAATATATGCTTCACTATTTTTGTGGGCGATGAAAAATTTTTCCATTTATTTATTTTTCTAAACAATTCAACCGATGATTTTTTGAAAGATATTTTTCAAATCACTTATTTTTCGAGAAACGAACGCATCCTTAATAACAAAGGCTCCCCGAACACAACCATTCCTAATATCATTTTCTAAAAGTCACAGTTTCATTTTCTTGATTTTTGTTTTCCATTTGAAATTAGATCAAATTTCTAGCGCTAGAAGCAAAAACATGAGTGTTCTTATTGCTTGATTCGTCTATTTTTTTAGAAATTTTTTTATTTGCGCTAATATTTTTCGTGTTTAACTTGTTTTTGGTTAATTAGTTTTCTTCAATATGCTTTTTCTTTTTCATATTTAAAGGATCTACTGCTAAGAGAAAAAGCCCCAATTAGGTTGGGTGCGGGTCAGCTCGAGTATGAATCGTTTAAATTATATTACATAAAAATAGGTCAACATGAATCAAACATTTTTTTTGACCCACTCAATCCCGATCCAACCCACTCGTTAGAAAAGCCTAGACATATTTTTGAAATTTGACTCACATGTAAGCAGCAATCTAATGTAAAATGTAGGCTTCATTTGTTTCATAAAAATTGAACGATTTAGAAAACATTTTCCTAACAACGATCGCTTGTATTGCTAGAAATAATTAAATGATTTATATATTAATAATAATATATATCTAAATATTTTCGTAGACGATAAAAATATTTTTTGTTTATTCATTTTTGTAAGCAATACGAGCGATTATTTTTAGAAAAATATTTTATAAATTATTTATTTTTCGTGAAATAAACAAAGCCGTAAGTGAATAGTATCTAATATCACTCGTGCCTGATGGTCTAAACTTCTAGACTAATGGACAGTGATGGCACAAAATTTCATAATATCAAATAATTGGATGAAACACCTTTTCAAAGATCGGGTACACCAGTAAATGAAGTCAAACAGTTAGTAGGACCACACTAGCTCTGCCCTTTTCTCCCTAAATTAATTACTCGATTTCTAGAGTAGCAAGGACAGAACAAATAGTGAGTACACGTGAGGCAAAATACTATTTGAACTTCAGAAGCAATTATAATTACTAATTTCAAAACATAACAATACTTAAATCTATGGCGATTCACACAAAAATTCCAAATGAATGGTCAAATTATACTAAAAAAAACCATTAACATTACTTTAAATTCTCTGAGCAAGGCACAACACTCTCTCTCCATTATGGAATAAGAATAAATGCAATCGAGTTCCAAAATTTTCATTTCGTACGTTTGAATCCTTAAACTTGCAGCGCTTGTCCATTTTAATCCTTTTTTTAGTTTTCTCGGATGTTAATAGGTGGGACATTTACGTGGCATTTTTTTCTATTACAGTCAAGTAAGACTGAAAAATACGATAAAGAGAAAAATGGCGCGGCTTGTGTTTCTACTTAAAATTGACAGAGTTGATGGAAGGATTCAAGTATATCGAAGTCGCAATAATTTAAGGCTGCAATGTTTGAATTTAAAAATCGAACGCAATTTCGCGACGAGTGTCGCCTTCTTTGATAACGATGAGTGGAAGCAACTTCTCAATCAAGTAGAAAGTGACGACTAAACAAATATATCCTTTTGGAGCTTATCAGAAGCATCTCTTCCCCCTGTTTTTATCTCTGTGTCTCTCTCACTCTTCCTTGTCGAGTTCGGCCGTTGAATTGCGAGGACATCTTCCTCGTCTTTCTGTGAACTTTCGAGCTGTTCCGCTCTTGTGAGTGTTCCATTTGCTTTTTTTTCTTTCCCTGTTCTTGGTGATCTTTCTGTCGCTTTGCTTTCTTGGAGCGCCCTCTTTTGCTCTGTTTGTGGTATGTGCTTTAGCTGATACTTTACACATGCTCTGTCCACTTTCATCTTCTTTAATTGTAGCTTATCGTCTTCTCTTTTGCTCGCAACTCTCTTTCTCTGATGATGATTCTTTATTGCGCCTTGTAAGGAACTATCCATAGTCGGTCTGTCTCAAGCTCAGGATCATCTCTCTCTCTCTCTTTCCCTTGTACTTGAAAATAAAGAAGATCAGCTCAGGTTTCTGGGTCATTGACAGTTGGCTTCTTTCTCGAATTCAGTGACGAGTTCGGTGTAAATTGTAGGAGGACCCGAGTAAATTGAGTAGTTGAGTGGATCGAGCTGGAATTGTGTGCATATGGGGTTCTTTAAATTTATAGCTTTTAGTAGGCTGTGTGTTGCCCTGTTATTCTTGGATGAGCTGGTGAGCTCGGTGGGTGGGATTGGAGTGAATTGGGGAATACAGGCGACCCATCCTCTGCCGCCTGCGACGGTGGTGAGGATGCTGCAGGACAATGGGATTCAGAAGGTGAAGTTTTTCGATGCCAATTCGAGCTTCTTGGGTGCTCTGAGTAAGTCTGGGCTTCAGGTGATGGTGGGGATTCCGAATGACATGCTCTCTTCTCTGGCGAGCAACGTTGAGGCGGCGGAGAATTGGGTTGCGCAGAATCTCTCTTCGCACATCTCCTCCAATGGAGTGGACATCCGGTAACCCTCTCCACACTTTTTTTTTCTGTTTAACTTAGATGAAGTCACTAACGATACGTTCATTCAAATGTTTATAAAACTGCTTTTGTGGTATTGATGAAATCAGAACTTCAATTATACTGGAAGTACACAAATTCGATGCCTATCCGATTATCCTCTCCGCACATGTTTTGAGGCTCTTGGAAACTTGGGTTGTAGATTGATCAGTTGAGTGCACAGTGTAATCTAGGTTAATAACATGCTCCTGATTGGAATGACACAAAGAGCTCAAGTTGGCCTAGTCCATTAGGGAATTGTAGACACTATCACTGTTTGTCAATGGTGAAATATGGTCGGTAAATGTGCATGGCACCACAATTTGAGCTTAGAGTTGATCTCTTAACCTTGCCTGCCTCCTTAATGCCAAAAGCTTATACCAAGTTATTTGCGTGAGCAGAAGCGTCTAGCTGTGTAGTCTGTCTATAGTATTGCTTGTTGAAATCTGCATACCTTCCATTGCTTTTTAAGGGAGGTGGGGACCTTCCAAAATTGTGCGTATGTGGTGCATGATTTTCAAAGCTGGGTGGTAAAATCTGTGTTAGCTGTCTATTACAAGCTAGCGATGAAGTTGAGATGTTCTTGCTTCAAAGTCGAAACTTGCAAGCCAGGAGGTCTGAGTATTTTAGCCCTTTGCAAAATTCGCTTGCAAAATTTAAAATCTATGTTTTAGAATGATTATGAGACCATCTGGTTCAGAGTCTTCTTAGGTTTCTTGTTTCTGTGTGTCTTCATCTGCTTCAGATTGCAGCGTGGTGTTTACATACTAATTTAGTTGTCTAGGATGTGATTTTAAATGAAAATATGAGTGCAGCTTCAAAAGGCCTACTTTATAAAGGCACTTCCCCTTTTCCTTGAACAGTTTAGAGCGTCTATTTCTTGATCATATGCGGCTTATCTAATATCCTAGTTCATTTGCCTTTTGTTTAGCTAGTTGGAGTCGCAGATCGTGAGTGTTGAGTCTAGTTCTTTGAGGCTCCTACTCCTGTCTTCTTTATATTTCATCTCCTACCTTTGGTGGTAAATCGAAGGCCAACAAAATCTCCCTATTTAAGATATCGTTCTTTCGAATAAAAGGTATCTTGAAGTGGCTATACTGGCCTCATTTCTTGAAACTCTGAATGGAACTCCGAAACCACTTGGAAGATCAGGAAGACACAGGCCATATGGAAAGGCCTTTGAACTGTTTCTTGCAAGGTTGTTCTTCAGGGAGAATGGATGATTGCCACAGGGAAGCGCCCCAAGAAATCTCCAGCTTTCAAAGAAATAACAGGATGAGGAGTTGGTGCTTTAGACAGAATCGTAACTACAAGATCCTGCTAACTGATTGCTCGAAAATGGAGGATAGTTTGCACAGTGATGATAACAGCTGCCATTTTAGGTAGAAAGCAGAATCTTATCTAACCACCAAGCTTATGCGTTCCTCATTGCACAGATTCAAATAATTTTGTCAGATAAGATTGACTTCAGCAAAATTATGTTCTAATTCTACATTAAGAGTTTAATCATTTGATTGATAAAAGAACTAGGTTTGCAACAATCAATTCAGCAAAGATGTGGAATCTCAGCAAGTAGAACTTTTCTTTTCTTTGAAGCAGGAAGTTATTTGACATTCCATTCCAAATATGGCTTATTAAGGAATTGTCTCTCCTTTGGCTAGACGGAACCCATCAAATGCCTATTTGTTTCTGAGTTTGTTCCTTTGCCTTATGCGTCAATCTGTATGATATATTTATTCAACTTATCTTCTCATCCAGGCCATGTGTATGGACAAATAACTGTGATAGATGCGTGCATCGATGTTAAAACTAAGGAGAACACCAAACTAGGAAATGTTAGAAGCAATGTCTGAAGAGTAGGGTCTTGGACCCATCCTTGGTGTGGCTTGGGATGCATTACAGAGGGAATGCAAATCATATTCCCTAGCTTTGGAAGTAACTTCCTCGGACTGCTGTCCTTTTAATAGTGGTTAAAATAGATATAACAATCGGTTTCTGTTTTAGTCTCCGCCGGCCCGGTATTTTACCTAGTGTCCTCTCAATTTTGATCAAAGTATCCGAACTCATCTTAGCTACTTTAAACGAGCATTACTTGTAATGACAAAGAATGATGCTTCTTCTAGGTATGTTGCAGTAGGGAATGAGCCATTTCTATCGGCGTACAACGGAACCTACCTTAATACAACCCTTCCTGCCCTCCAGAATGTCCAGGCAGCTGTTGTGAAAGCCGGATTGAGCGCACAGGTCAAAGTCACCATCCCTCTCAATGCTGATGTGTTAGCGAGCTCGACATATCTTCCTTCTGATGGAGACTTCCGGTCAGATATCCACGATCTCATGTTGGAGATTGTCAAGTTCCTCAGCGACAATGGAGCTCCTTTCACCATCAACTTCTACCCTTTCATCAGCCTCTACAATGACCCCAACTTCCCAGTGGATTTTGCCTTCTTCGACAACTCGTCATCGACACTGAACGATAAAGGCACAATATACACCAATGTGTTCGATGCGAGTTATGACATGCTTGTGTGGGCCCTGCAGAAGAATGGTTATGGAAACATGTCCATCATTGTTGGAGAGGTCGGATGGCCTACAGATGGAGACAAGAATGCGAATGCGAAGAACGCTCAACGGTTCAACCAAGGGTTCATGACTCGGTACTCGGCTGGAAAGGGGACCCCCATGAGGCCTGGCCAAATGGACGCCTACTTGTTCAGCCTGATTGATGAAGATGCAAAGAGCATTCAACCTGGCAACTTCGAGCGCCATTGGGGTTTGTTCTATTTCGATGGGCAGCCAAAGTACGTGCTCAATCTCGGTTCCACAAGCTCAAATGGCTTGGTAGCTGCAAGGGATGTCAAATATCTGGCTAAGAAATGGTGCGTGATGTCACAGTCAGCAAGCCTCCAAGACTCGCAAGTGGCACCTAGTGTGAGCTACGCTTGTTCCCTTGCGGATTGCTCGAGTCTCGGGTATGGGACTTCGTGCGGCAACTTGAGTGCTCAAGGGAACATCTCATACGCGTTCAATAGCTACTACCAGCAGAATAATCAACTCGACAGCGCCTGTCAGTTTCCCAACCTATCAGTCATTACGGGCAGCGATCTGTCTGTCGGAGATTGTAAATTCATCATCATGATCCAAACGCAGTCCTCGAGCTTGGTTGCGAATGCCGGATCTCCGAGAAGAGGTATTGTTCCAGCTGTATTGGTGTCCTCATTGCTGTACATGATTCTGTGAATGTCGCAGTTATTTCATATACTAGAACACGATTGTAAGAAGGCAATGTGGCTTCATTATAGGTGCTGTTAACAGTTTCGTACACAGTTATACCTGTCTTCATTTTCCTGTAAATAGACATTATCAAGAATTGGAAAAAGAGTTGAATTCTGTCAATTGATATTGGAACCGGTGTTAAGTACTTGCCAAAAGAAGATTGCCCGAATCAGGAAATTCAGGTTGGGTCTCTCAAAGGTAAAGGGAATCATTGGTTGATCAAATTTTCCAATTCTTTTATTTGGTTGATCGATTACTCTTTAAGAGATTACCACCGGCAAATTACACAAATCTTAACTAAATCGAATTTGAGAAAGTGACACAAATAGTCTATGAACTTAGCCCAATGTGCAGTATTATCTTTGAAATTCTAATTTGTTTAATATGGTTTTTGAATTATTGATAAATATTCAATATAATCCTTTCGTTTGCTCATATGACATATTAGATGTTATTTTATGACGGATTATTGCACATTGAGTTATACTTTTGTAAAGAATGAGTCAACACGTCCATCTTTTCATCTATCTATTTTAGAAAAGGAAAAAATAATTACGGCTTTAACATGTCGATCATTATTTGATAATGTTGATTATTATATATTGATTTGAGATGAATATCTTACTTGGATAATTCAAGTCTAACTTGTTTTTTTGTTGCTCACCGTTCAAACTTAGCATATTGAGAGCCACATCGGCAGTTTCACATTAAATTAAATTAACGGAAGGACGACATAAAAATTTCATATAGTCTAGGGACTACATTGAATATTCACTAATAATTCAAATACCACATTGAACAAATTAAAAATTCTGGGATGACATTGCACATTGAACCAAAATTTAGGAATTATTTGTGTCATTTTCCCATTGAATTTCTACTATTGTCATATTACAAAAGGATCTGAACTACACCAAGTCAAAAATAGAGATAAAAATTTCATGAAGATAGAATGTTATGGAAATAAGTCCGTGGGGTCCTGCAGTTGAATTGGGCAGATTTCGTGTTTGATTTCCGGTTAAACATGAATTGGGATCGGTGGCATCAATATTGCCAAACTGATCGAGGAGAGAGTCCAAGGACCAAGTTTGTGTTCTAAAGCTGACAACTTGGTCCTAGCGAGCGGTTTAGTGAAGATGTCTTTTGAGTTGTAGAGAGACAACACAAGGGAGTGATGATAGATCCCCCGGCAACATTGTCTCGGACGAAGTGATTATCGATCTTGATTTGTCCTGCTCCAGCATGAAAGACGGACATCTGCAGCCAAGTGCGACCGATCGGTATTCGGCCTAGGCCGAGCCGCGGCAGGCTGTTTCTTTGCCTCCGTGAGATTTTAATCGGACCCCAGAATCACACGGAAGCTTGAAATCGAACATTGCGTCTGGGGACAACCGACCAGCCAGCATAAATCACAAAAACATGTATCTAGAAATGAATGAAAGACTGGTAAATTGGCGTTTCATCTGGCATACAACTTCTGTACTGTGATTCGTTCCTAGTATGTGTTTTTTTTTGGTCTACTCGTTCCTAGTATGTTGAGAAAGCAAGTTGTATTACCTAACCTTACCTTCACAAGGATCTTAACATTCGGAATTGGGCATTGGAGCAGATGGAACGACGGTCGGCTAGTCAAGCTAATCCACATTTCGCAGTAGCGTTCTCCCATTCCATCTAATCTTGCTCTGAGATAATAGAACAGCAAAGGGACGATCCAGTAAACACCCATGAACGTCATTTGTGAATTTGAAGACTTCTTTGTGGTTTCTTTTTCTGCTAAGTAAGCCAGTGTTTTACTTAGAACTTTGTAAGTTCAGAGAATAGTTGCGTGAGTCAGCAACAGCACCAAGTTCCAGTTCCTACACGCCTCCACATGCTGAGGTAATCCTCTACAATCACCATGCTTTACATCATTCAGCCTATACAAAATGCCGGATGAATCTAGAAAAAAAGGCACCGCTATCAACATAAACACCAGCATCGTGTATTTTCAAATTCCTGGAAGACCATAGATGACAAATTGGAGCACACCCAGCAACTTTGAAGGCCCTAACATGTGGAGACATCCACTGCAACTTCACATTCGAGGATTCGGCATCCCTTTCTAGACCGCGTCTGCTATAATTTCGATGCCAAATATCTTTGGCTATCTCCAGTTTTGGAAGAAATGATCTCCACAAGCATTAGAGAGCACAAAATCATGCCAATTGAGTTGAACCACTTTAGCAGTTCTATCTGTCAGGAATAGGAAGTAGTATCATAGTAAATGTGTATGTTGATGGAGTAATATTCCGCAATCTTCAGTTTCCTATTTTGTAATAGTTGAACTTAGTTTACGTGCATTGTCAATGACAGTTTCTCTCCAATTCTCTCTCATTATTGCATGGTATTAGAGTCAGATTCTGCCTCATATTTATTTTGTGTCAGGCTTCCCATTCATCAATTTCATGTGACATTCTCAATTCAGTTTGCATGTGCAAAGGGTAACCAAATATCTCACATCACTGGTCTATGGAGTTTTAACGAACCTTATATTTCCTTCCACCTATTAGTTTAAACTTTTGGGTTGGACTATCATACTATCTTCGGCAAAAAGAGTGTTCACTATGGCCACCCAACTTATAACCGTGTTTAGAATGTTAGGAGTAAAACCAAAAGAGTTCGTGGCTAGAAACTTTTCTACCTTATATTCTTAAAACACTCCAGTCACTTCCAAGTGAGGACTTATGTGTAGGAGCAGCTAACCAGATCACTTTATCCTTCAACGCTGGGTTTGGATCAATAACACAACATGATGAAGCTTGAACAGAAATTAGGGGCTTTGATCTTGCTGCGGGGCACATCCAAGCACCTTTTTCTATCACAGTAGCCACTCTAGCCTAGAAAGACAGCTTAGCATAACAGACCCCTCTCAGTGGATGATTCTCCAGATGCCTCCAGGATGATCGCCATAGAAAAGTGTCCTTCCTGTCCCCTATTACATACTTAGTATGAGCTTTACAATCGCTCATCTTAAGTAGTTTTCTTTAAATGTAGAACATATTTTCAGGGGCTTTAATCTGCCAAAAAGTCCTGTCCTTTAGGAGATATTTTTTCACCCAAGCAATCCATAAAGATCCAGAATCAACAAGCAAGGTTCAGATCAGTTTCCTTGCAGCTCCTTCATTCCTTTCATAAGTTCTCTTTAACCCTAATCCAACTTCCTCCTTAGCAAACAGACATCTCCAATTTCACCTTTACAGCCCCTTGTTTTTTCATCAGAACCAGACCACTTAAAATTATTACAGCACTTATCAAGGTTCTTGATAACTTCTTGGGTAGGATGAACACCCCGCACCAATAGGAGACTGTTGTAAATTGCACAACTGATGAGTTGCAATATACCGGCAAAAGAGTCGTTTCGCACTATACCTCGGTATCCTGCTCAATATTCTATCAGTGAGGACTTTACGGTCCCTATCTGACAGCTTGCCTGAAATCAAACAAAGCCCCAAGTATCTAGCAGGTGAGTTCCCAATCTCATAACCACCCATTTCAACCATTTGTTGAAGCTGCGAGCTCCAAACCCCTGAAGTATAGATTTCAGTCTTCAGAGGGATTAATTTCAACCAAGACCTTTTGTCGAATGCCTGAAATATATTCATCACTTCCTGCAAAGCCTCCATTGTCCCATCTATTAGAATCTAGTACAAATGTGTTAGCTTAATATTGGAACACATGGAATGGTATCTCAATCTGCCCCTTCAGCAGCCTTTAAAATAATCTTGTAAAGCATGTCTATTAACATCACAAATAGATAAAGTGATGAAGTATTTCCTTACTAGAGACCTTTGCCACCTAGAAGTAGTTCTTAGAACCTCCATTGGAAAAAACAGAAAAATAAACAGTTGTAACACAGCTTCTCTAGTCCACTAAATAAATTCTGCAGGGAAGCCAAGAGCAGACGTAATGGTTATGGAGATTTGATGAGGAAGACTTTTGTTCACCATTTTGTCAGGGAAATTGGGGTATGAACAACATAAGATCTTTCAATCAAATTTGCTGATAAAAATGGCTATGGAGGTTTAGTAAGGAAGATAATCCTCTTTGAAAAAGGGTAGTTGTGCAAAGGGTGCAGTACATTTCCCGAGTCCACAAGGGTGGTAGAGTTGTAACACCCAAATTTTCACTTACCAAGGAATCCATGCTATTCACATCCCTCTCAATGTAGCGAATTCCGTTTCTTACGTCTATCCTCTGATCTCTCCAGACAGAAAGATCACAACTGATTTGTGCAATTATCCACAAGCACCAAACACTACTTCTATGGTTAAATCTACTTCTAGCGTTTCTTGCAGCAACAGTGCCGCATCATGCCCAAGACTGGACCTGGGTAGGCAAAAGACGACAAGCGCGCAGCTAGGGCATGGCCTAGTTTAGTGTCGGCTAGGGTTTCCAGTCAGGAAGTGATGAGATCGATCACTCAAGTGAAGTACAAAAACATTGATTTGATTAAAACCAATTTTCATTTTGAAAGATGGGAAAAAACCACCAAAAACCTCAAATTTTGTCATTTGTGACACATTTACCCCAAACTTTTTTTTATGACACCAAAAACCCCGAACTTTACTTTTTGTGACACATTTACCCCAATGTATTTAGTCCATGGGCATTTTCGTCTTTTTTGCTTTTTCTTTTTTTTTTCTTTTTTTCTTCCTTTCCGGCGAGGGGGGCCTCGCCGGCGTCGGGCGAGGGCTGCCCATCGCCGGATCCGGTGAGGGGGCCCTCGCCGGAGTCGAGCGAGGGCGGCCCTTGCCAGATCCGGCGAGGCGGCCCTCGCGGCTGTCGGCGAGGTTCGCCCTCGCCGGGCGAGCGAGGCGCCCTCGCCCGACTCGAGCGAGGTCGACCCTCGCCGCGTCGGCGAGGGTCGACCTCGCTCGAGTCGGCGAGGGCCGCCCTCGCTCGTCTAGGCGAGGGCGACCTTCGCGGCGTCGGGCGAGGTCCGCCTCGCCGGGTGAGCGAGGGTGGCCCTCGCCCGTCTCGGGCGAGGTCGACCCTCGCCGGTGTCGAGCGAGGTCGACCCTCGCCGGCGTCGAGCGAGGGCGGCCCTCGCCGCAGATCGGGCGGCCCTCACGGATCGGGCGAGGGTGACCCTCGCTCGACGCCGGCGAGGGTCGCCCTCGCCCGATCCGGGCGAGGGCCGCCCGACGCCCGAGGGTCGACCTCGCCGGATCGGGCGAGGGCCGACCTCGCCCGACTCGGCAAGGTTGAGCCGGATCAAGCTAGGGGGCCCTCGCCGGCGCCGAGCGAGGGCGGCCCTCGCCATCCGGCGAGGGCGGCCCTCGCCCGACTCGAGCGAGGTCGACCCTCGCCCGAGCGGCCCTCGCTCGACGCCGGCGAGGGTTGACCTCGCCAGACGGGCGAGGGCCGCCCTCGCTCGCCCGGCGAGGCGTACCTCGCCCGGACGTCGACGAGGGTCGCCCTTGCCCGGGCGAGCGAGGGCGGCCCTTGCTCGACTCGGGCGAGGTCGACCCTCGCCCAACGCGGCGAGGGTCGACCTCGCCGAGTCGGCGAGGGCCGCCCGACGCCGGCGCGAGGGTCGACCTCACCCGAGTCGGGCGAGGCCGCCCTCGCTCGCCCGGGCGAGGGCGAACCTCGCCGACGCCGGCGAGGGCCGCCCTCGCTCGACGCCGGCGAGGGCCCCCCTCGCCGGAAAGGAAAAAAAAAAGAAAAAGCAAAAAAGACGAAAATGCCCATGGACTAAATACATTTGGGTAAATGTGTCACAAAAAGCAAAGTTTGGGATTTTTGGTGTCACAAAAAAAAGTTCGGGATAAATGTGTCACATATGACAAAATTTGGGGTTTTTGGTGATTTTTTCCCTTGAAAGAAAGCAGGATATTAAAATAAAGGACGATAAACAATTAGTTTGCTTCAAATATGTTTCTTTTCTTGAGAAATATTTAAAAACTCCTTTTCCTAAGAAGATATAATGGAACCTTAGTTTTAGTAAGTTTTTGCTTCCAAGGAAAGGCGTGACTAATTTAAACTCTTTGCAAATTTCTTAGCTAAAGCAAGGGGTGCTAATGAAATTTATACGAGGTATAAAACTCTGTTTTGATTAAACAGAAAAGGAGCGTTGTGTCAAAAGCAAATGAAACATGCTAATGTTATAGGATTTGACTCATCGAGATACCACTAAGTCCATCTTAGAACAATCCTAGCACTTCGAATTATAATTAGGTCTTGATTAGATCATGCAGCAAGAGTAAACATAAATAAAGCAACCAAAATCAGAAATATCATGGAATAACCAGAAGTCCTACATCAAGGACGCGGAAGAGAGAAAAGGAAACGATACTATACATGATCCAAGTAAAAAGGGTTCCTTAGATTGTAGGAAGAGACCTACAAAAAGGTTCACTAAGCCATCCCAAAGAAACATCACTCCTTCATCTCGATCAACTCTGATGATGAAATGATAATAACAGCTGCGGTTGGGGAGCAGAGACAGACTCCGCTGAAGGGACATAAGCTGGTTCCAGTGGGGGAGCGAAGCGGTCGGAAGGGGAAGTACTAGTCGGCTCCTAGAATAAGGGGCCAAACGAAGTTTCCCCATAGAAGGTCCTCCAACTGAAAAAATCCCAAGCCACCCAATCTGTTCCTCCAAAGTCTATCCAAAGACAGGTGCAAATTCCCATGGATCACGGTATGCTATAGCAGTCTCATATCAAACCAGCCATCCATAAAACCGTTGCAACATCTTCGAACCTGATAAATGTTATGGATGAGTGAGGAAGCTCAGAAAGTGACTCCTCGAGGTTCGAGAATGGGAGATCCATCCACAAGTCCAAGCCATTTAAGAGTATGTTTGAAGTCTTTTATGCATAATATGAAAAATGCATGATCTGATGTCTAATATATATTTTTAGTAATGTCACCAACTCACATTAGAATGACATGACGTGTAACATTACATAAGCGTCAAAATAAAAGCACGAGAATTCAGGCACAAGAAAGCAAAATGAAAGATACTTTCTTGCAAATGAACCAGCCACATGCAATCATAATCATAAAAAACTTCATATTATGATAAAATCAAGTATGAAGTTTCATTAAAATGCCGTATCTGATAGCATGATCCATAAAACATAGTAGCTTTAAAAAACGATAGGCCATCAAGAACTAAACTAAAACATGTATGGATCAGTTCCTTTTAAGTTCTAAAAATGACCGGATAAGTCCCTCACTTTCACAAATCACATTAAAGTACCTGGCACTCTCTCTTCTTTGAAATTTGACTCCCATTCCTTATTCAGTTGGCTAACCTTTTTATCAGTTACAGAAACTGTTAAGGTACTTAAAAACAAAAGCTTTAAGTTCTAGAAGTCATATTCACAACCCACATCTACCAAAACTCCAAATCAGACCCGGCTTCATCATTTTAGATTGTTTGGGAAATAGCCATTACAAGTGCCATATTTTTCATACGGCGATCAGTGCTAATAACTTTTCAAGCGATTACTTGAGTGCTAGTATGGAAAAAGATTGATCACTTAGATGCTATCGACGATTTGAATGGCTGGGAAATCTGTCATGGCATTATTTTATTATAAGACGATTTACGTGACTCGCAGGAACAATCCAATCAGCAAAAACCACAAGAAACAATGCCCTTTTGGTACTATTAGTAAAAGAAAAAAGGAACAAAGACTAAACCCAACAAATCGCTGATACATTACATCAAACAAAATTGCTAAACCCAAAAAATCCAATAGAAGATAAAAGAAACCAAACTTAAAGAAAGGCTGAATCAAACAAAACAAATTAAAATACCCAAGAAATCAATTGAAACTAATGGAGGCAAAGAGTTGAAAATGTTCGAAGAGCGCATCAGAGTCAAGACCATGTCCACATGGATAATTTCTATCTCCAATCAGTTCAAAGTGAAGAAAAATGGTAACACATCATCTGCACTCAATCTCATTCTCCATAATATTCAAAATTAAAATGAATCAAAATGAAGAATAGTCAAGGCTAATGTAGACGAGCAACAATCATACTGCCAATCCAGACAAAAATGACAAATGAAACGATTTCTTGGCCACTTTTGGTTAGATTTGCCCTTGTTGTTCTTCGCAATGGAAGCACTTTTTATCTCAGATTCTCATTTCATGGACACGATCAGAGAGCTTAGAGATGGATGAATGAAAACTCGACCAACTGATTCAAAAGTACAACTAAAGCAACAACAGGAGAAACAAAACTCATCAGCACTTCCAGTGAATGCAGACACAGCGGATGAATTGGAATGTGGGCTTCGTCCACGTTAGACTTAAATTTCTATTAAAAAGCCATGTCAAAATCAAATTTCTTTAAAAAGATGCATAGGATAAATCGCTGGAATTTGTTGCCGGAGGCACTTAAGTAGTCGTTTTTCCACGGATATGGCACTCAAGTGATCGCTTGAAAAGTTTTTACACTAAAGTAAGTGCTATACGAAAGTTGTGGCACTTCTAATGTCCTTTTCCCTAAATAATTTCTCTTTAACTCCCTTTTCTTTTAGCAAAAGGACTTTTTTTAGGACTAAAAGACAACAAATTTACCGATCTAAAAGGTTCGGACAAGGGATGAACAGATCGAATGATTCTGGTTAGCAAAAATAGACCTGATTTTACCATGTAGTACCTCTAGCACTCCACACAACTTATTAATCTGTTTTCACCCTTTATTAGCTTCAAATAACATTTGAACAACCTAAAGATATAGCATGCCATGAACATAGCACATGTTTTTCCTTCAAGCGAACTCAACAGTGAGTTTTTGGGCAATACCATCATCGTTTGGTCTCATAGCCGTGCATGAGGTATACCACTTAAAATCAAACTACTTTTAATGAGTTGAAAAGGGTGAAGAAATGGCCAACGTCATCACCAAAAACTTGGAAAACTCTTCCTTTTTCAGTCATGTGGATTTTATGGCTAGAGAGGAACAAGAGCTAAATTAAGCTGGTTTGAAGTTATAATATTCTTTTTAGGTTTGTTTATTTTCTCTCATATCTCTTCTATGTTTTCTTTTGTTGTTACCTTATGATATACAGTGTACTCAGCATGTTTCTTCATTCTACTTTATTAAAGTACTTCTCTATGCAAACAGATACAAAAGGAGCCATCCTAATTCAACTAGCCAAGTAAACACCTTAACACCTGAATAATGTAACTTGCTTCGGCTGCCACTTTTATTTTTCGATTATACTAATGACATAAGGATATTGATTTGACAGCTTAATTCTACGAGCCTACTGATATTCTTCAACATTCAAATCTAAACAACTTGCTTTTTTGCTGTCAAAATGAGAGAAGAAAAGAACAGAAAAATGGCTGTTAAAGCATTCTTGGTGCTGTCACAGTAATTAGGAAAATCAGAAAGTAGGACTTACGACAATGGATAAAACCATGCTTTGCGTTAGAATTCTGAAGTTAACATAGCCTGCAATAAGACATATGAAGAACGATAATACAGCAGTTAAAAGAGTTGTCTCCTTTGATGGCACCAACTGTTGCTTACTCTATGAGACTTGTGCATATTACTCGTGCATATGTACTGCCAAATTCATTGCTAAAACAAACACGACCATATAGCAATGTCAAAATGCAAGTATCAGGCTGATGGCTCGGAACAGACATAACCATTCTCAGAATAATGATCTTATGACGGTCTGCAATTTATCATATTGGAAGAATGAGCATTACGAATATTTCATCTACCTATATGGTATGCAGAGATTGGCAACGAAACCAGAACATGTAGCAATGCCAAAATGGAAGTACCTGATTAGCTCCCTAACAGATATAACCATTCTTGCGAAGGAAGTCTCTTGACCTGATATCAGCCTGCAATTCGACATGTTACAAAAATGACTTCGATGAAATTTATCACCTACCTAAATGGTATGCAGATATTTGTCATCCTAGTGAAATAGCATACCATCCTTGTTGAAAATGAGTGGTTAAAGCACCATCAGGGGCCAAGACCACAGAAGTAACATGTGATAAGCTGATTCAGCACGATGCGTACTTAACAACAAATTTCTAGTGAAGTAGAGTCCTGGTACAAGAAGCAAACAAAACACAAACTGGTTTGAGTTTTAACATCAATTAGATTACCTGTCGCACTGGCTCTGGGACCCGATATTTGCAAGTCATCCCAACAACTTTGGCAGCAGTTTGAAGGGATATACGGTGTCCAATCGACACAAATATAGGCTTTGACGTATTCCATGTTGATCGCATCGCCTGTAAAGAATAAATTTACTTGAAGTGAAACTTCTAAAAGCCAATAAACAAGATAAAAATATCCTGAGAAGCTATCCATTGACACCACCTTTTTGGTTTCCCTATCAAGCATAACATGCTATCTGCCTCTTGCTTCAGAACATCACAACTATGTCTTGGATATATCACAAAGATATATCAGCGTGGCTCATGAAAAACTGTATATGGTTTCAAGGGGAATTCCATCCAACAAGATGAGTTAATGGGCTCAAACTTTGGATTCCCATCTCCTCATATCCTGGTATAAGGCACTAAACTTCTACTGGGTATCCAACATCAATTTGTATATACGCAATGATTGAAGTTATCATCCACCTTGCAAACTATGGTTTGGGAGAAACCAATCAGTTTTTTTCAAAATTCTTAGCATGATCTTCCTTCCATCTTATTTCTCCCAATATCATAGATCTTCATAATCATAAGCAATTACAATCCAATATTACAATGAGCCAACTTCCTATGATGTCTCAAGTATGACTGCTTGGAAATACAGGTTCCATTTGAACAACCTCATAACTACTCAAGTAAAAAAGAATGAATACTTCCTCTTCAAAAAGCCAGTACCGCATTTATGGTGAAAATTGAGATGAGACATCATAAAAGACACGAAGAGCAATTGGATTTCATCATGGGAACCAACATGAGGTGTTTGACATACGTCTTGGGGAGCACAGTCAACTGGATCATCATTCTAGTCATGACAACTGCTGAGAACTTCTAGTGGCAAGAACTTCTGATGGCATCACTCAGTACACGTGTTGGATTATACGAGTATATGATGAACAAGGAAATCAAGGAGAAATTTCATTAACCATGGGAAGCTATAGTATTTTTCACCATTACTGTCTGCATATGTCTTTTTCTTTTTTCAGTTTGTATGTAAAGTACTCGTATTTCCAGTGGCAGCTTCAAAGCACATTAGGGATTGCACTTACAAAATTAGAAACTGCCTCAAGCAAATCCAAAAACTCAAGCCGAAATCCTTACCACACCCCATATGCGCCCAGAGGATCCAGTCAAAGTGAGAAGATCTTTAGATAAGTTATCCTTGGCTGCTAGAAGCTGCTTCACTCCAGATAGAGTCAGACCATCCACATGATGCAACTGATATAAACCATACATAGATTTATTCTTAAATATTTGCTTAGGAAGATGATAACGAATTGAGCCAAAACTTGAGTCTAGAAAGATCATGTGAGATCCTAGTTCTTTTCTAAACACGTAATATTAGGAGATAAGAAGTAGACAGAGTGTTCATAGAAGTCAAAACTGAGAGTTCTCATCCTTGGAGATGTGATGTTCAAGTAGACTAGTATAGTTAGCATCGACTTAGTACCAACAACACAAGATTCCATGCTGGATGTGGTTATACTCACATTTTTTCCAATACCGATAGTAGGGAGATCAGCTAGAACACCAAGATGGCAGGCTAGTCCAAAACCTACCAAAACAAAGCTTTTGGTTTAAGTCATCATAGTTACAAAGGATATATTATGATAACATAGCTTGACAAACCGGTTAACAAAGCTTAAAAAGAAAAACCAAGTATCTTGCTTGATCAAACACAATGAAACATGTCAAACAAAATGCAAATCATAATCTTTCATCATAGCAATGTCATTCTATTTTTTGAACTTATGTCATTCTATTGACAAGGAAAGGTTTACACAAACGGATTAATGTAGGATGGTGAGTCCCACAACAAAGGATAAATCTTTGGTCTTTGTACGCAAAGCTTCCTGAGCATCACACCTAGGGTTTCTTAAGCATCAAACCTTGAGAAAATTTGCATGACACAATCCCAAAGCACAAAAATTGCCAAATACAATTGATCCTCAATTCTATTGAAAAGAAAGAACTACAACTAGTCAAAGTAGGAATTCTAATATCGTAATAAAACTAGGAAACACGTATATCCACTATCAACTAGGAAAAGGAATTAAATCCAATTCCAACTAGGGAAAGAAAACTTATTAGAATCCTAATAGACTCCAAACATTTAACGGAAGATTCCTAATTAATCAAAGTAAAAAACAACTAATCTTCATTTGGCACACCTTTTGTAAGTTTTCAAAGGTCGTGGCCATAGCTCTCCATCACCAATTCGGTTCCTTTATTCATGGTTAGTGTATATATGTACCTAGAATACTTCTTGTTCAAGGAAAATATACATCCCTTGCCAGTCTACCTAGAATCAGTGAACTCGAGCAATTGGGTAATGCGATAGCATGCTTTGAAAATTAATTAGACACTATTTCAACATATTATGTGCAAAAGGCTGTAAAAACCAAAGTCTTTATACACGAATTGACATAAAATTTACATATGCAGATAATGCACATTTATACATTGAGTTTCGGGTGTTTCGGGTTAAAACAAATTTAAAGTGCTTCTGTTGCAAAATTTAGATGAAGCAAAAGGCAAAATTTAAAAGTCTATCTAGACACTCCTATACACAAACTGGCAGCATGCAACTACTCCAAAAAAGTTAAGACACCTGAAAAGAAAATGAGACATTAATAGATAAGGGGTTCTCCTGGAAATCAAGAAAAATCATAGGACCCTTTCTAAAAGAAGAAACCATCAGACTCAATAAATAATTGAAAAAAAAAAAACAGAGAACTCGTGGCTCGTTGCTAGTAAAATTGATCATAAAGGACAATGCAGAAACTCCACAGTTCCGGGTGGTCAGTAGCAATTTTCCTTAATACCAGTCCCTAATACTTGTTATGATTAACTAATTACAGAAGCAAAGAAAGGTTGTGTGAGCCTTAACACTTGCCTCGAGGATGAAGTAGCCCATTTCCATCCACCATTATCAACTGTTGAAGTTAACATGTCAAAGAAAATTCAGAGATGTTAAAATGAGAAGGAAAGAACAGTGATCATCACGACCTACTACTATTCAATAACTAGCATGAGGTTTGAATGGAAAGGTAATGATCTCAAACCAGCCAGTCACAACGCAGCAGAAAATCATGGGTACAGCATTCACCTGTGGACAGATATCCGTCGCACTGCTTTTGACCTTCTCCAGAAGTCCCAGAAGAACAGGGGCCTAACAAGGAACAGACAATGACGAATGATCAAAGATCGAATTGTACATATACACAGGTTTCATTCGAAAATGACCCAACATCCAGAACCCCAGAAGCAGCTCGAAATCCGAATCACCTCTCTGAAAGCGAGGAAGCCAGGGACGTAAGGGACCTCGAGCCGGACGACATCGAAGTCCTCGTACACGACCCGCAGCGTCGAGAGGTCCAGGACGACGAGCGTGGCGCAGGCCAGCGATCCGTCGTCCCCGGCGAAGCTCAGGTCGACGCCGCCGACGTACTTCAGCGCCTCCCCCGATCCCGCCGCCGCCCCGCCTCCTCCCGGCAGCTCCCAGGGGAAGTCGTCGCGCTCGATCAGCCTCCGGCGGAGCAGGTCCTGGGCCCTGAGAGAGAGAGAGAGAGAGAGAGAGAGAGAGAGACGGGCTCGCGATGAGAATCGGCCGGAAATCTTGCCGGGACGACGGGGGAAGGACGCCGATCGCCGACGTCCTTGGGAACCTACTCGATCCACCGGCTCAGCTGTGCAGGAGAGGAAGAAGGAGGAGGAGGCGGTGGGTTAGAGGAGGAGGATGCTGCTGCTGCTGCTTCGTCTTCTTCGCTTGCGATCGCCTCCATCGGAGCACGACGGGAGCTGGAAGGAAGCGGCGATCGGCGGACGAGGGAAGGCGCGAGCGTTGCTGGTCGGAGCATGTACGCACCATCTCTCTCTCTCGAGGACGAGCTCGTTCCAACGAATATATTGATCGGTCACTTTTTTCTTTTCAGGAGAAGATAAGGCAAATAGTCCTGCACTTTGATCATACCTTTGGACAATTTCATTTTAAATTAATTTTTTTACCACGAAAAATCCAAATCCGTATATACGTGACAATTTTACTTTCTTAATTTCTGTTAAATTTTACCGTCAAACTTCTGAATTAGATGACACGCGGCAGTTGACGGGTGTACCAGTTTGGGGTTTTACCTTCGTCTGTCATAGGTTTACCATTTTGTGATTTTTCGTGATACTAATCGAATTTAACGAAGGGTAAATTTATCATAAACGTACAAATTTAGGGCTGTAAAATCTGTCATATGTCTACCAGTTTTGGATTTTTGGCAGTCAAAAAATTAGTTTAAGATAAATTTATCACAACTGTATCAATTTGAAGTTTTCGTGGTATTAACTGTTTGTTTAATATGATCCATGAACTGTAACGCAATATGGAATGTAATTCATGAAATTTCAATTAACTTTTAATGCATGTTCATTTTTATAAAAATATTTTTTAAATTATTTAGTTTTTTTGTTAAATATGAGCTTAATTTGAAAAATAATCTCCATAGCATCTCTCTCAGCCAAGAAAAGATGAACAAATCCTCACATTGATCCGGCAAAACACACGCCCCATTTGTCCCCCCGAGTCCCCCATCTCCATCGTCTCTATTCTGTAGGCTCCCTTCTCTTCTTGTCCTTTCATTTTCTGCTTCAGTCTGTTTTTCACCGTGACCGTCGCTCGCCACCGTGCCCATCGGGCATCACCGCTGCCATCCATTGTTCCGCGGCCACCATGAAGCCATCACTAGTCAAATAAGCCACCACCACGGCGCCTCTCTCTCTCTCTCTGGATCTCGAAGGAGTTTAGTGACAATGAGCCATATCTGGCTCAATCGAAGAGTCCGGACCCAAACACACTACTCCGATGCAGGACTTGATGCCGCACCCGAAGGGGTTCATTCTCTTCCTTAGTTCTGCCTTTGGTAATTTTCACCTCCCCATAAATTTTAGGCTTTTGACTTGTTTAAATAATAATGCCATTATAGGTAGGGTGTCAACGGTATGGTTCGATTCGGATTTTTAGGAGAATTGAACCGAATTGTTTTGGATGTACACTTGCTCCGAACCGAAAAAAGTGACACGAACCAGATATGATTACGAATTGAAAATACGGTTCGGTTTGGTTTGGTCTCGCACTACAACAGGAAGCCGACCATCACCTCCTGGGAGATCTTGATGGATGTCCAGCTTGTACTCCCTGGCGAGCTCACCAAGCACGCCGTGGAGGGCATCAAGGGGTGACCGAGTTCATCGGCTCGGTGAAATTTGTGTTTTCACTTTTTGGGAGTAAGGAAATATTGTGAGGGAAGAAAGAGAGAATAAAGCAGAAAAGGGAAAGAGAGAGAGAGAGGGGGATAGAGGTAGACAGAGAATAAAGTAGAAAGTGAGAAAGAGAGAGAGAGGGAAAGGTAAGGGTATGTTTGGTAAATTGCTAAATAATAACCGATTCTATTCTTTTGTTCTCGAAAACAAAAAAAAAAACAGAAATCTGTTTGGTAAATATTTTGTTCCCAGGCACAAATTTGTTCCCAGAATCAGTTTTTGAAAAGAATAAAGAATAAAAAAAATTTGATTATTGATTCTGGGAACAAGAAGCAGAAATAAAAGAATTTTTTTTTTCTTCTTTCCTTCCTTCCTGTGGTAGGTTCTTCTTCTTTCCTGGCCTGTGGCCGGCAGCCAGCGAGGGGGTCGCAGCCCTCGTTGGGGAGGGCCGCCCTCAAGGCTCGTGGCCTGGGCGAAGGCCGCCGTCGCCGAATCTGGCGAGGGCGGCGAAGAGGGTCCAGCCCTCGCCTAGGCTGCGAGCCTCGACGACGGCCCTCGCCCGAGCAAGGCTGGTGAGAGCTGCCATTGCTGTTCGCGGCCTGGGGAAGGTTTGATGTTATTTTCACTACCTCCCTCTTACAAGAATTTTAGAGAGATCATGATTGTTAGTTAATAGGGGAAGGTTTGTTGAGATAAGCGATGGTGGTAGAAGCAGGTCAAAATCAAAGCATAAGGATCCAACTTGCAACTACTGTAATCTAAGGGGCATATCAAGTTTGAAATTGAAGGCAAAACAGCAAAGAGAAAATAATTTGAATAAGCAAAATCAATGGAATACTAATCGGCAAAACAATCAGAACGACCGGAATAGATAAAATCAATGAAATGGAAATTCCGCTCAAGTTGGTGTTGCTGAAGAAGAGAATGAAGATTGGTTATTGGTTGTAGACGATAAAGATAAATTTAGTGATTGTTGGATTCTTGATTCAGGTTGTTCATATCATATGTGTTCTAATCATGATTGGTTCTCCACGTATAAGGGATATAATGGTGAAGTTATTCTAATGGGAAATAACGCTAAAAGCAAAGCAGTTGGGATTGGGATTATCAACATTAAGATGCATGACGGCGTGATCAAAACCTCGGAAAATGTTAGACACTTTCCTAATTTGATGAAGAACCTCATCTCTTTAGATACACTTAATGCTAACGGTTGTAGGTTTACGGTTGAAGGTGAAGTTATGAAAATTATGAGAAGTTCACTTTTGTTAATGAAATGATTGAAAACTGGCACTTTGTATCAGTTGCAAGGTACTACGGTTACTAGTTCGCTACAGTCTCATTCGCCATGACAGAATCAGACAACACTAAATTATGACATATGAGATTAGGTCATATGAATATTAGAGGGATGGATGTGTTGAGTAAGAGAGGTATTCTGTGTGGTCAGAAAATTGAAAAACTGGATTTTTATGAGCATTGTGTTTTCGGGAAACAGAAAAGGGTCAATTTCAAAACATGAATTCACACAACAAAGGGCACTTTGGATTGTATTCATTGTGATCTTTGGGGTCCTGCAAAAGTTCCTTCAAAAGTCCTTGGTTCAAGTTATCTACTAACTTTCATTAATGATTTTTTAAGGAAAGTTTGGGTCTATTTTTTAAAATAAAAGAGTGATGTTTTTGTTACATTTAAGTAATGGAAAACATTGATCGAGAAGTAGACCAGTAAAAAAATCAAGAGGCTAAGAACAGATAATGGGTTGGAATTTTATTGAGGCGAGTTTAATGAATTCAGCAAAAATGAAGGCATTGCGAGGCATTATACTACAATGAATATACCACAACCGAATGGTATTGCATAATGCATGAACAAAACCTTTTTAGAAATGACAAGGTGCATGTTGTCTAATGCTGGTTTGGGCAAAGAGTTGTGAGCTGGGGCAGTCAATACAGTTTGCTGGTTGGTAAGTCGTTCTCCTTGCACATCTATTGAGTGCAAGACATCTGAGGAGTTATGATCAGGTAAACCTATTGATTATTCTTATTTTCAAGTATTTATATGTCTAACATATGGGGGAAACTAGAACCTAGAGCAAAGAAATACAATTTTCTTGATTATACTTATGGTGTAAAGGGTTAGAGACTTTGGTCTATTGATTCATCTAAGATTATCATTAGCAAAGGTATTACTTTCGATGAGTCTGCTATGCTCTATCCTATTAAGGAATCGTCTTTTCATGACAATGAAAATCTAGAAAGTGCTGTGGAGAAGGTGGAGCTTGAAGTAATTTCTTTGCAACCAGTTCAATAGTCTACTAATAATATTGAGATTGAAGAACCTGAAGAGGAGCAATATTCTATTGAAGGATAGTGAAGCCTCCACAGAAATTTGGGTACTCAGATTTTGTTACTTATAGTCTTTTAGTCGCAAAGTTAGTAGAGTGAGTCTTAAACCTATAAGAAAACTGTCTCTTCAAAAGATTCAGCAAAGTAGTCAATTACTATGAATGAAGAGATGAAATCTCTTGAAAAGAATAAGACTTGGGAGCTTATCAAGCTACCAAAAGGAAAAAAAATTGTATGTTGCAAATGGATTTTAAAACGAAAAGAAGGTATCCTAGAGTTGAAAGTATTAGGTTCAAAGCTCGTCTACTTGTTAAAGGCTATAGTTAGATTGAGGGAGTTGATTTTAATAATGTGTTTTCACCTGTCATTAAACATAACTCAATTCAGATTTTCTTGCATTAGTTGTTATGTATGATTTAAAGTTGGAATAACTCGATGTTAAACAACTTTCTTGTATGGTAGGCTTGAAGAGAAAATCTATATGGGTCAACTAGAGGGTTTTCAGTTTAAAGGTAAGGAAGATCATGTTGGTCAATTGAAGAAGTCTATATACGGCTTGAAGTAATCACCGAGAGAGTGGTACAAAATGTTAGATTCATTTATGGTGCAACTTGGCTATTGTAGAAGCAAATATGATAGTTGTGTATATTTGTGCAAACTTCCAAATGGTTCTTTCATTTATCTTTTATTATATGTTGATGACATGTTGATTGCAACAAAAGATAAATCTGATATACAGAATTTATGTCCACATACAAATGAAGAGATAAATATATGTCACATATTTCATACTCTAATGCAGTTGGTAGCCTAATGTATACCATGGTTTACACTTGACTTGACATTCACATGCCGTTAGCGTGGTAAGTAGGTATTTATTATGCCCATGCAAAGTTCACTAGCAAGCTATGAAGTGGATTTTGAAATATTTAAAAGGGTACTTCTGATTTTTGTTTAGAGTTTGGGGAAACTAGTGATACTTTTACATGATATATTGATTCTGATTATGCCGGTGACCTTGATAAGAGGAGGTCTTTAACCGGGTATATTTTTATTATTAGAGGTTGTGCAGTCAATTGGAAAGATACTTTACAACATACGGTTGCTTTGTTTACTACAGAGACAAAATATATGGCCATTACAGAGACAGTTAAAGATGCTATATGTTTAAGAGGCTTATTTGGAGAGCTCAGTGTGGATCATGGTGTGAATTTTGTCCACTGTGATAGTCAGAGTGCTATACATTTTACTAAAGATTAGATATATCATGAGAGGACAAAGTATATTGATGTGTGGTATTATTTTATTCGAGACATTCTAGCTTAT